TCGATAAAATTAACAATTTTACATAAGTATTTTAGCAGAATTTAAAAAAGATAAATATCTATCGATAAAATTATTTTTGATGATAGGTGTGGAGATGAAAACTCAGTAGATTAGATAGCGACATACAACCGAAGGACGTCTTCATAGATAGAATATTACTGGATTAGAGTTCAACTAGGAAAACTATTGAAAGCCTTGACATTTGAAAAACTCTCGATCACTAGACTCGTTTTCCACGCTGTTAAGCATTCTGAATTAAGAATCTTTTCAATTTTTTCTTTGGGATCTCAATGCCGGAGATTACTATCCATTAATTTTATCAATGAGATTTGAATTTTGTGTAATAATTAGAATATATGCTTTGCCGGATGCGTGTTATCACTAGCGATCTATTACGGCATGAAAAATAATTAGTCTTGGATAATAAAAATCTTGAAATTTTTATTTTTTATGATAGAAGATGAATACCATAAGTATGTTCGTAAAATATTCAAAGATGAATCTCGCAAAGATCAACCAACACATGGCACAGATTTTCATGATTCGTATTACAATTTTCATCAACGTGTAAGTTCCATCGACATTTGTTTTTTCTTCATAAGTAAATTAATACTCTGTAGAAAAAAATGGAATCCGATCGAATTACAAAACATGAAATCCAATCGGTGACAGAGAAAACTTTTACCGCTAATGAAACGTAAGCTCGAACTAAGTGACCTGTCGTTATCATTTCTTGAAAGGAAGAATAATGAATCGATTATATCGAATGAACCTTAATACCGACATATCTGACTATAAAATTAACAATAATAAAAGGGTTCCAGTGACTGCCTTTCTCTGACTTTTTTGCAGAAGAAATCACTCTTTTCAATCAAAACTTATAGGGAATTACTAAATTTTGCTAAACATGAGTAAATCTCAACTAGTAGTTGTGTTAGAATTCAAAAATAATAACTACGATTAGATAGGTTCGTTTGTCTAGAAGAATGTTTATACAGAAAATGTCGAATACATTTCATTCTCCCTTTGAAGTTTGGCAACAGTATCTTAAAACCGATCAATTGTAAAATTGTAGCGTAGTGAATTATCCTTATCTTCTTTCAAAATGTGTTGAATTGTTTTTCGTCTTGCCATCAACTTCAATTATTCAATTGTCTAAGAAAATTTCGATCAACTAGTTTCAATTCTAGAATAATTCAAATACTGACACGTGAATGTTGTGTCTGCTTGTTAATACAACCCGAACAAGCATTTTCTCCTGGCTACAGTAGAAGATGTCAACATTACTTTCGTCAAGTTTGTAATTTGTGCACCTATACGAGCATCAAAGTTATTCTCAATGACATCATCAGTAATCCAGTTTTGTGTCCTGAACCAAACTGTTTGGTAAAGTTGAGTTCAGACGAAATATCTCGAGCGCTTACCATAAATAATGATTATGTGTTATTGCAAAAATACAGTATTTATCTAAACAGACGATTTCTCGATGATCTAGATAACTTTTATTGGTGTGCACATGGATGTGGCTCTGGTCAAATCGATGATAGAAAACCGGTTCAAAACTTAAAAATTACTTGCATCCTATGTGCAAAAGATACATGTGCATTTCATCGTGTTAAGTGGCATGAAAATATGGCCTGTGATCAATATGATAAACTGCATCCATCTACTGATCCTATGACAAACAAATGGATGAAAAAGAATTCAAAAAAATGTCCCCGATGTCATTGTAAAATTGAGAAGAATGGTGGCTGCTTTCATATGATCTGTAGACAATGTCGCCATCAATTCTGTTGGGATTGTCTCGCTAACTACGTGTCGTATAAATCTAGAGCGCGTCTACAACACAAAATCAGTTGTAAACATCATCCTATAGGGTTTTTATTTCCACGAATTCGTTTATTGATACGTGAAAAATCATAGACGGAAATAATCATCTCAATCAAAGACAAGAATCACTAAAATGTATCTTTTTTCATAATAAACTCGATTTTTTTTCAATGCGTTTCGAATATCGAAAGTTATAGAGCTCATATAGTTCTAATATAATTTAGAGTGCCGTTGTGTGTATTGATGTGGGAGTATATAGAAGACTGATGTCTACATCTACCTACAGAGTAGAATGATTCAACCATCGGAAAATAATATTGTTTTTCAAAAATTGTAGTGCACGAAAATTCGAAATAGTTATACATCGGGTCAAAATTAATAGTATTTAAATCTCAAATCCATTTTGAACGTGGGTGTGAGTGTGGGTAAATATTACACGAAATCACCCTACACTCACACCCACACTCACCCTCGCTTGATCTTGAGAAGTAGGAACCTTGCTCGGGTATAATTTGTTTCCGTACAAGTTGGAACGAAATTATTCGTCTGAGTGAGAAATTACATAGGCAAACATTCGAAATGAAACGTCTTACGGGTGAAGAGATACTCGCCATACGAAACTTGAATCCTGCTAATGTCGATTTCAAAAAAGTAGGATGATGAGTGTTTTTTGAATAACTTTTGATAAGAACAAGATAGAGAGCTCAAGCTTTCACTATTCGAAAGAGAAGATGAAGACACATCGAATCGTTACCACAAGCGTTTTCATCTGGCTTTTTTATGTTTTCAATTGAGTTTTTCCGGAACCAGCGNCCAAACAAGTTTGAATTTTTTCCAGCACATTGAAAAAAACCAATAAATAATTCACCTTTCTGCTAAAATAAGACCGTCGAAAACAAGACAATTTCATTGGTTTCTTATGAATTTTCATGCATTAAATGTATTTCAAAACTTTCAGAAGAATTCATGAGACTTCATTAGACTTCATGAGACTTCATGAGACTTCAAGAGACTTCATGAGAATTCATAAAACTTCAAGAGACTTCAAGAGACTTCAGAAGACTTCAAAAGACTTTCAAGACTTCACGGGACTTCACGGCTGAAGTCTCCGCTGTTTCCCCCTTGACCCACATCTCACCCGTGGGATGTTGGTCGTCTCTTTTCCTCACGTCCACACTTCCACAGATATTGTAGCAAATTTTTAGCTGAGAGGAACACGAAGAAACCTTGAAGCAATGTCTCAAATACGTTTGATCAGTACTAAAGATCTATTCTTTGATGTTCGCCATACTTACTCTTCAGATAGCAGTCCATTTCTAATGACAGTCAAAGCAAATGCTGATGTTCCACATGGATCACGTCGCAAATTGGCACTTGTTATTGGCATAGGTGACTATGAATATGTTAGAAAAACAAAGAATCCACGGAATGATGCGGTTGACATTTCAACTGTACTGGAATCTCTTAGTTTTTTGGTAACTGTGAAAACAAATTTAGCATATCGAGACATGATTAGTGTTTGTGAAAACTTTATCCAACAAATACAAGCAGGAGATATGGTCCTATTTTATTTCTCTGGACATGGAATGCAATGGAAGGTAAGTACTCTGATAGTTTTTCATATCAGGCTCAACCTGAACGTTCCAACAAAAACCTCATGTCTGCTACTTTTAGGGTCAAAATTATCTTTTACCAAAAGATTTTGACGACACAAATAAAGAATTACACGAAAATGCCATTCAAGTACAAAATATTTTTGACTGCATTAGTGATCGACAACCATTTGTAACTATATTTCTGTTGGATTGCTGTAGAAAATATCACGCCGGCGATGACGATAGAAATCTAAATGCAAATGGAGAGGATGACTCGTATCCTACGTCACTTGGTCTTGGTTCAATAGATTCTAAAGCCGAATCGGTGATTGCATTTGCTTGTGCTCCTGGAGCTATAGCTATTGAGAGAGAAGAAGAACCAAACAGTTTATTCACCAAGCATCTTCTAAAATATATATCGACACAAAATGAAGACATCCGGACGGTATTACGTGATGTTAGAAGGGCAGTGATACAGGAGTCGAAATCGAAACAGAATCCCTATTTGAATTTTCAATTATCAGAGAGAAACGTATACTTGTACAATCCAGCACAGAGTAAGTTGTCGATTCTGTGTTTATTTTCTTGATTGCAGGAAATTATCATTCATCTTGAGGGTGTGGGGTGGGGTGTTTGATACACGGTATGAATGTGAAGTATTAGTCCTCTCGTCACCCACATCCATAAAAATATCTAATAAAAAGCTTCTCTAATGTTTCAGTGATATACAGAGAGCTTTGCAAAGGCATATAAGCTTGTCAGCATAATGTCATCTTTAAGGAAAAAACTCTGTTTAGAATGTGACTCTAGATGTATGTACTAATCTGCTCTTCATTCACACCAATAGGAGATTGTATAGATAATAAATTTGAAGTTGGCAAAAATGTAGAGAATCAAACCGATGTGTCTGATCAGAAAGGGACAAAGTCTGAATAGTTTTTCCAATAAGAGACATCAGTGTAAAACGTGTTTCAGAGTTATGCATATTTTCAGTTATACACATTATTACTGAAGCCAATGGAGCAGCTTCTAATATCTGTAATAATGATTTTGTTTGATTTTATTTATTGCAGCTATCTATGAGATGCAACAGAACCATCATTCATGCCAATTCCGATCAGGTGAGTTCTGAAGTTCTACTATGAAGATATACGAGCGCAAGAATATCATTTTTGACGAGTTTTATCATTATGTGAAATATTGAGAAAGTATTGTGGATGTTTAGAGACCCCTTGGCTCGATCTCCAGCATCATCAAGATGGCACAGGATTAATCAAACGACCACATGAACTGGAAGAAAATATGCAAGATATTCCTGAAGATATCAGTGAGAAAATCCTGGATCGAATTCAAGGATCAATAATTGGAATGGCTCTGGGTGATGCTCTTGGTGCTCATGTGGAGTTTCGACCTCGAACATTTCTCTTGCAGCATCCTGTAGGCGACCTAGAAGGGGGAGGAACGTGGGGCCTAAAAGAAGGACAGGTAGGCCATCGTCTGAGATGTCGGGTGACAGGAAACTTTATTGATGTACTATACCACAGATAGCTATTTTAGTTTACTGACGATACCTCGATGGCACTTTGTCTAGCAGCATCCTTGATTTGTCGTCATGACTTTGTTCCCTATGATCAGCTCGTCCGATACAAGTGGTGGTATAATCATGGCTATATGTCGTCAACCGGAGAGTGTTTCGATATTGGTGCAGCTACCAAGAATTCGTTGCGTGAATTTGAACACCGCCAGAAACAATTTTCTGCTACACATAATATTCCGTTTGATCAATTAGACTTTCTTTCCGATCCTGATCTTCTTGCTGAGTTCAGAGTGAAATGTAGTAGAGCAGGTGTTGCCGGAAATGGAGCCCTTATGCGCCTGGCTCCCGTGCCACTTTTCTTCTATAGACATCCTGTTCATGCTGTCCAATACTCAGGATTCAGTGGCGTGATTACTCATGGCGATCAAAAAGCCTACGATGCATGTCGTTATTATGGTGCACTGATCGTAGCTGCTCTACAGGGTGCTACAAAAGAAGAATTACTGAATGACAAATTTTACGAAACTCATACATCATGGTTTGCCAAAGTTCCGCTAGTTCCAGAGATCGTGAGGATCGCCAATGGATCTTATAAACAAAAAAATGGATACGACGATGGTATTCGAGGCAAAGGATACATCGTCAATGCTCTCGAGGCTGCCTTATGGGCCTTTTGGTCTGGAAAAACTTTTGAAGAGGGTGCTCTGGCTGCTGTGAATTTGGGCGATGATACGGATACAACGGCCGCTATTTATGGTCAATTAGCTGGCGCCTATTATGGTTATCGAAAGCTACCTGAAAAATGGGTACAGAAAGTCTATGCAAAACATTTGTTACAAGGTTTGAGCAAGTGGATTGCTTATGAAGGAGAAATGTGGCAGACAAACGAATCGCTCCCCTCCATGTTTGCACCTTCGACTGTGACATCTCAACAAAAAGCTACTGTTATTTCGTCTGATGAACAGAAGTCAGATTTTAAGAAGTTGCCCTTAGGTCAACAGACGCTACCAGAAGAAGCTGAACAAGGAGAACCGTCCGATCGATCTGAAAAATACACTAATAGTAAAAAGTCAAGCTATTGTGAAATTCTCTAAACAGGAAAATTGTACTAATTCCAGGTATACTAGTTAAGTTTGCCGAATTATTGCTTCTTTCTTTAAATATAAAGAAGAAAATAAATCTTAACAACGACAGACATCCACGAAATATTGTTAGCAGATACTTTTGTGCATTCAAGAAATTCTTTTGTCTCATATAAATGCATAATCTTGATTCTAGTTATCCAACAAAAGCTATGTATGATTTACAATAATTTACATTGTTGAGTAGTTCACGAATTTGTTTCTAATGTTAAGATCTTAAGCATCAATGTATTCATAAAATACATTAATTACATATCGCAATATCCGTAATGAATATTAATGAGTTGTGCTGTTCATTATTTTCCAAAGATTCAATAACTATCAACTGGAAAATTCTTAATTCATTGTTAATTCTACAATAATCAAATAATGTATGAAGATTGAAATAAAAAATAAATTCTTGAAATTCAATACTAATTTAGGATGTGGTGTGGATATGGATATGGATGTAGATTTCTAATTCTCAATCTGGATTGGCAAGAATATGCTGCTTAGAATGTATTTGATTACGACGATAAAAAGTTTTAGTTCGATCATGAATCGTTGCACTTGATGATTTCGTTCATCGACAACATAAAGATTACCATGCCGATCGAGTGATAAACCAATAGGATAATAAAATTGATTCGCTTCTTTTTCTTCCAAATTTCTGCCAACAATAATATTTCCATGTGGAACTCCGTTAATCCAACGCATCACTCGGTTATTTATACAATCAGCTATATAGATAGTACCCAAAGTATCAACGAACACACCAAGAGGATGTGACAATTGTGTCAATTCATTTTCCTCATCTTAACCACCAGCCACGATAATTCCTTCTGTTACATTCTTGAGCTATTTTACAACACGCTGATTACAAGTATCTGATATGTAGACTGAATAATTTCATTTTTCCGTATCTTCTAGTCGATATCGCCTAACTGTACTCATTTTTATGTCAGAAACGTAGAGAAATCCCTGATCATCCATTTTCAATCCTTTGCAATCTATATTGTTGATGATTGTTTCTCCAGTTGTTGTGTCATTTCGACGAGACCATCGCATTAGTCGTCGGTTCCCATTATCACAAATTATAAGACTTTTTGTCTTTTTGTCAAAGATCACATCTGTTGGCCAACTCAACTGATCAAGTTGAAGTCCTTCTCCCTTGCCACGAGCGACCACTCGATCACTCGTTTCACTATATTTCCATTCTACAATGCGATGTTTCAAACTATCAGCAATATAGAGAGTTCCATCTTTATCTATATCGAGACCTCGAGAGTGATTGAGTTGGCTCAATTTACTACCATGGCCGTAACCTCCGACAACGGTAACACCATTTTGTGTCCAGCAAGCATCGATAGAAATGCTGAGTAGAGCTCGAACCAAAATGAAAACAATATATTTCTTGATCAATATCGGGAAAGTGGCTTCCTGATTTTAAAAGATCCGCTGAGCATTCGAAAATCGGAATTTCACTTGATATCAGTTCCCCAGAAATAGTCATCACTTCTTCTCATCTCTTTGTTAGTAACAAATTTTTGACAGTTGACAAACCTAGTTCTAGTTTGGGTGTGGATGTCGATGCAGGTAAGTGTCGTTATGCGTATGAGTGGGGTGGATGTGAGTGTATTCTCTTCATTCTCACCTATCCCCATCTAGATTCAGGCCGAGACCTAGATACATACCTATATCCCACACCCACACCACTTATCGTCCAATAGATGAACCATTGATCTTATCACTTATTCTAGAGATGAATTCATCGATCGATTTTTCTAAAATGTCATCCAGTTATTTCTCTTACTTCGCAACTTGTCATCATCAGAAATCTCGGTGATTGCTTTGAAAAACTGTTATTGATGATAGAGGAACATCCCAATATGGTAAGTAGTCGCATATAAATTTATTTCGAACTTACAAATATCATTTTGTGATAGATCGTAGAAAAAAATCTATGCTCATACAATGATACATCGTATCAATGAGAAAAATGGGTTCTACAATCAATGTGTCAATGTTGGTAGAATATTATTGAAGACAAACAACAGCATTTGGAAATATCTTAGTAAATATCTCATAAGTAAATTGTTGTCTTGGATAATCAGTCTTATCGATGGAAGAAAAAAGTCGAACTTGTTGCATTCGACATAGAATATATATTAAACGATTGTTTATTGCTAATAACTGTCTTAATTGTTTGGCTAATGTCATTTTAGCAGAATCGTCCATGCATATCACATCCAGTCGTCGGACATTTGGTGTCAATTTTAGCCAAGTAATAAATGTTATAGCGTCTAACTCAGATGTGTTCCATGAAGTCAAATCAAGGTGTGTTACATTGGTTAATGTTGGCATCAACGCTCTTTTGTTGATCGACTATAAATTAAAACAAAAAAGTAGACATATAGCTAAGATCGACATCCACATATTATTGACTTCTATCCTTAAAATCTCAATATAATTCAAAATCTATTTAAAATACATGTTTATAGCAGATTCCGATGAAAGATAATGAACATATAGGTGTTGGAACAAGGGAAAAGAAAATGTACACCTACACCCCATCCTCCAGTTATGCACTACTATAAAAAATAAATTGGCAATAGAAACTAACCTGTCCGAAACAGAAGTCTGATAAACGAAGCCCCCAAAAATTAAATTTCAACGTCTGATTGTATGAACGAAAAGTGTTTTTAATTAAGTGTAATAAATCAATAGTAATAGGTTCTTGATTATTGTTTGCAAAATAGATGAGCTTTATTTTACTAAAATAATTATTCGGTGCATTTAGTTGTCCTTTATTTATGTGCCAGGCATTTATGTCAGTTGAGAATTCGAGATCCACAGGAAAAACGCAAGGCATGGATCCGATAAAGATCTGATCTTTATCGTTGCACATAAAAAGTACAGCTGGTTGACAAGCATCAAGCCACCAGTCACTTTGATACTGATGCAGCTGCTTCATCATATCGACTGCTTTCTTTTGATGTTGAAAAATAAATCTTAGCTTTTGAAGACGTCGACACGGTCGAATTATTGCCTCCAAATCGTGCCCATCAATGAGAAGTATACGTGTACGACTTATCAAGGTCAGTTGTTCGAGAGAAGATTGATATAACCGGATCAATTGTACAATAGAACTAAGGTATCGATCAGTGGGATCGTTGTCATCCTCATCATCATAAAAATATTCATCGCTATCATCACATATGATATGCAATTTAGTTAGACGTGTAGGTTGTGGAATCAAAGCTGATATAGCAGAGTAATTCAATAAACCAGCACTTGGTTTGAGTGAACGAATTTTGAGATAGGTCAGATGGGGAGCAAGAGTGCTAAGACACAGCATATCCTGTTCTGTACACTCTTCGACGAATAAGCGTACAATGGCTGAACATGGTAATGTGTTGTAAACGATCTGAGCCTGGAAATTAATTATTGGATTTCGCAAGATAACTGAAATAAAATAAATGATTTACGAACCTGCTGGTGACTGGTTAACCTGTCACGACTACGAAAAAGTCCAAAATGATCAGTTTCCGTTTCGTCTTCGAGCTCATGCGCAGGCCAGATGTTGCATATTCGAATGATGTTCAAACATGACAGAATAACACTCAGGGCAGAGCAATTTGTTACATTCAATTCGACCGTGAAAAAAGATTTCTTTGCAAGTGTGACTGAACGAAGATTGACAAACAAATTTCTATATGAAAAGATATTTAATATGGAGTCGACATCCAAGCATACACTTTCAATAGTATTTTCGATTAGCGACATGTACTCGACAAACCAAACTAGTGGTATTTTATACGAAAGACTGCAATGACGAGTCGATGCAAAGACGAGCGAATTAAATCTCCAGTTAAGTCCATAAAATGTTCTGACAAGATCATGCAACGTCAGATGAGAAAATATTACGATCAACAGTTCGTTTGGTAATGTTTCAAGAGAACTGTTTCACAGTGACATAAAACAATAGACTCATGAGAATATTTCAATCAAGAATAAGATTTTTTATCATCACGCCTACCTTGGTAGTTCTTTAACATCAATCTTTTGTTGATCAGTGAGCAAAGATTCAATGAAGAACTGAGACTGTTTCTCGAAAACATTTTTCTGTATAGTTTTGACAGATTTTGACTGATTATTTGTTGTGGAAAATTGATGAACTTGATTGTTTTGACTTGCATAATCTATTTTGAGACGTTTGTTTGTTAAATCATGTTCATCTATTAAATACAGTAATAGAACAAATGCATTCAGATAATCGAGTAAAAATGATACCTAATGAGTTTCTCGATTGCTTGTTTGTACTAGACGTTTGACTTGCAATTGAACTCATTGTATCCAATTCTGAAACAGATATTCGATTATAAATTATATTCAAGCAAATAGTTGGATAGAGTCACCAACAATTTTTTCCAACTAACCAAAAATTTCTTCACAATCGACAGTAGAAGAAATATTTACTCTGACAACCATAAATGATTTCTTTTTTTCTCCTATCCAATGAGCAAATGAAAATGCTCCATATTAGAGCTGTTCGTGAATCATCAAAAATCCAAAAGTAACGATTTTTTTAACTAAATGTTTCTCTGCGCCTTCAAAAGTTATTGAGAAGGTCTATTGATTAGAAGATTTACTCTTATTTTTTCCAGTAATTGAGATGAACTTAAGAAATGATTTCAAAACATCACCACAGTAGTCTTAGAAACATGAAAATAGACGCTGGCTTGGTCGGAAGAAGACATTACGTGTGTATGCAGCAACATACTTCTCTTTCTTTCTTTCTTGGATATTTTTTTACCTGTAAAATAGGAAGAAAATGCATATGAGTCATGTAAAAAGTTGGAAAAGGTACGTGACATGTGTAAAAAATAAACGTAAATTATACTCACAAAAAAATGTCGTGGATATGGGGTGTTGGTATCGGTGTGGTTATTGAATCGAGAGAATAGTCACACCCACACCCTTTCAATCGTTTGAAGGTTATTGTCAATTGAGTTGTGAGGATAGTAATTTTTGTTCTCAGTGTATTCCGCAGTGAATATTTTGTTTGATATTATTGCTTATAATGCCTTTCTCTATATAATAGCAATATTTGTCTAGCATTTGGCAAAAATATTATCAAAACTGAAAATTGTACCGATTAATATCATAAAAGCAAGGAAAGAATTATTGTTATATAAAAAACAACATGACATTTTTCTACTTTATTTTTAGCCAGAGTAATTATCGATGAGCAGTTTGTTTTGAATTGAAATCGAATAGTAAACAAGCGAACATGAAATATCGTTAAGATTTGATTATTCTGACTTCTCTCTTCATGATACTTTCCATGCTAGAACTAAAAAATCTTCAACTCGGTTGTGTTTAATTTGTTCAGAAATAAAAATTTAGGAACTTCAGAACTATCCACAAAATGAATTCCTAAAAGTCATTGTTAACTTTTTTCATAAGAAAGTCCATCTGCTTGTAAAAAACAGAAATGGGGAATTAGGATGTGCGTGTGGGTTGTTGTTCATCGTATTTTAACTCGCACCTAAATCCACACCCACAGCCACACACCCCACATTAAATCAGCATTACTTTTAATTCTAACACATATGCAACCTACCATGATCTCTCTGAGAGGTCACCTTTAAAAGTGTCCAATAAAAGAACAAAATCGTGCGGTTTTAACAACTTCTAGACTTAGCATGTTCGAGACCTACTCAGTGCCAAATAGCATATATATTAGGATTTAAAAAAAATACTAACTTAATGATCGAGTTTTAACTGAAGTGAACACTTATCATAAAAATCAATTATATCTAATTGAACATAATTCAACGTTTCCTTGCTTATAGTATTTTAAAGCTGTGTACTGATTTCATTTTTTAAATTTTATTTTGTGGGCTAAACTAAACAATTATAAAACTTCTGAATTCAACAATCAGCTATACATCATTAAAAAAAACCAAATGGTTACACTCAATTTAAACTCATTAATGCTTTACTTATGAATATTGTTTTAATTTGAGAGAATACAAAAAACAACAACAAAGGATTATAAAAGCAAAAACTAAAAGAAATATAAATGTGGTCCCTATGAAGATCGAACTGATGTCTTTCACAATACTAGAGTACAACACAATTAACTATTTCGATGTTTAAATTATTTTCATAGAAAAACAACTAAAATCAGAAGAATATTATGTTATATGGAACAATCATCATGTCATTCTAACTGGTTGAGCTAAGCAACACCATTGGTTTCAATCTTTATATTAATAATCAGTATTAACATTAGCTAAAGATTCATAAAGAGTTATTTTTCTTACAACTACATAATACTTTCAATATCTTTATTTATATATAATATACAAATCACTTTTGTAAAACAAAAAATATTCACAAAATTAAAATGGCAAAACTGCAAAAACACTATCTGACACAGAATTATATACATTAAAAAAATACAATGGCTTTTCATTTATATATATATATACATATGGCAATCTATCCTAACAATTCACAATCCATGGACATGTTTCCATTAAAAGAATATATTTAACAGCTTCAGAAACATCAAGTTTAATTGTTGTTGGTAATTTCCATGGATTTTTATCATCAATCTTTTGTTTATTTGGTTCATAAACACCTGTACATACTAGAATTGATTCACATGATTTTGCACTTAAATATTTCGAATCAGATAATAAACTATAACCACTAATACTTGTTCGTATATTCAAAGCTTGTTGTAATAAATTATTATACATATTTGCACCAACAATATCAACATCTGGATTATCTCCAATAAAATAAACTTTTTCGATTTTTGGTCGACCATTAGCTAATGCTATTTGATTAGCTATTGTTTCAGCATATTGATATGATATTTCAAATGGTTTACCAACAAATGCTGTATATTTGAGATCGTTTCCACTTATATTCTATATAGAAATGAAAAACAAAAGTTCATAGAATACTTTCTATAAATGAAAAAAAACGACTTACTTTATATAATGTTTCTAAACATGTAAGAAAAGCACCATGACCAAAACGTGGTAAATCTGCAGCAGCTTTAAATACAAGATCTCTGTTACAAGCAATAATAGGTATATGATCATGTTT